TTAACTAAATGTAATGTCTTCATGAAACCAAAATGCCCGGTGATTTTAGCATCATGGGCGTATTGTAATACTGCCCCCCTCAGGCTGGCGGGGACATACAGTTTTGCACCCACCCAGGCGAGACCCTCCCGAAGCGCACACTCATTGGAGTGGGCTAAAAACCACTTGTCAGTTTTTAGTGCTTCTTTTAACTGCTTGCTCAAGTCGCCGGACAAGGTTAGGTCCCCTTTCGCCTGGGCTCTGGTAACCACTAGTGTCACCAGCTGTTTTGAGGGGATAAACAGATGAATCACTTCCTCTCAAACACTATTGTATTGAGGCAGTCTCAAGAGGGCATCTGCCATAAAGTTCTTCCCTCCAGGAAGGTAGTGCAGGGAGAAATTAAATCGGTTAAAGTGTTGGACCCAGCGGACTTGCTTAGGTGACAGTTTTCATGGCATTTTTAAGGCCTCTAAGTTTTTGTGATCAATCCACACCTCAAAGGGGTGTTTCGCCCCTTCCAGGAAATGCCTCCACATTGACAGTGCCCAACGAACAGCAAAAGCCTCTTCTCCCAGATGGCCCATCTCCTAATTTCCAAGAGGTATAGGCGCAGGGTTGCAAATTCCCCTCAGCATTTGCTTGGAGTAACATTGCCCCGACGGCCACATCGCTGGACAACAAACGGGGCCTCCATGTCAGGATGTTTAAAGACTGGTTTGGCAGCAAACAGTCATTTCAGTTTCTCGAAAGCCGCCTGACATTCCATAGTCCACTCGAGAGGCTGGGAGGGCTTTGGCCTCACCTCTCCTTTTGTTTTCAGAAGGTTAGTAATCGGTAAGGCAATTTTTGCAAACGAGGCGATGAACTGTCGATAGAAGTTAGCAAAACCGAGGAAGCTTTGTAGTTGTTTGCAGGTACATGGGGGAGCCCATTCCAACACAGCCCAGACCTTTTCTGGATCCATTTCTATCTCCTCATGCGAAATGCGGTACCCCAGAGAGTCAATTTTAATCTGGTGGAATTCGCATTTTGACAGTTTAGCATACAGCTCAGCAGCTCTAAGTTTTTTCAGGACGGCTCTCACCATGGACCATCGTCCATGGTCTCGGTGTAAATAAGGATGTCATCAAGGTAGACCAGAACCTCCTTGTATAGGTGTTTGTGCAGTACTTTGTTGATCAGTTGCATGATCATGGCAGGGGCTCCTTGTAGTCCGAAAGGGAGCACCCTAAACTAGAAACATCCCAGCGGGCAGTTGAAAGCAGTTTTCCATTCATCACCTTCCTTAATTTGAACTCTATAATACACCTCCCGCAAGTCCAGCTTAGTAAAATCTTTCCTTTGGCCAGATGGGCTAGCATGTCCTTCATGAGGGGCAGTGGGTAGATGTTTTCTACACAAATAGCGTTCAGGTTCTTATAGTCAACCACCAGGCAGTAAGACCCATCCTTCTTCTCCCGGAATAGCACTGGGGCGGCTACACGCGGCCTAGCCTGTTGGATGAAGCCACGTTTTAGGTTTTTATCAATAAAGTCTCGTAGTTCCCCCAACTCCCGGGGGGTCATGGGGTAGATCTTTGGTTTAGGGAGCTTTACCCCAGGAAGGATTTCTATACTACAGTCTGTAGGCCGGTGGGGGGGGGCAGCACATCTGACGCCTTCTCACTAAACACCTCCCGGAGGTCCCGATACTCTTTTGGGATCTTTTCCTCCCCCACAATGTGGTCTGTTGCAGTTGCCGCCCCCTCGCTCACCACTTTGGCCACACAATAGGGGTTCTCCCCTTTCTTCCCTTGCTGGTTAGAGTGGATGCACAACACACCCCTCTTCCAATTTATGCATGGGTTCCATTTACGGAGCCAGTGCAGCCCAAGTAGGAGGGGTCGTTCCATGCCAGGGGCCACAATAAAGCTCAGAGTTTCTAGGTGATCCTCCATCCTCATCTCAATTGGTTTGGTTACAAAATGGGCTGTCCCCCCCCCCAGCTACCGATCCATCTAGCTGACAGAATGCAATGGGTCTTTTCATCATTTTTAGTCTTAGGCCCATCTCTTCCACAATGTCCGGGCTGATGACACACCTGGTGCATCCTGAATCTAGAAGGGCTAGCATCTTCCCGTGGGCCCTGTTGGATGATACCTTTAGTTCTACTGGAATGATCATGGGTCCCCCATTCTGACTTACCAGGAGGTCCTCGTCGGAATCGGTTTCGGTTTCTCTGTCATTGGCGAGGGTCGGAGTTCTCAACTCACCCCGTTCCAGTGGACCGAACTCAATGACTTCTACCCCTTTTAGGGCAGTTTCGCAGGGTTTTGCGGATGTTTTATTGGCTCTCTTCCCTCCACTAGGGGTCGCCTTGGGTCCAGGCTTAAAGAAACACTCAGCCGCTCGGTGCCCCTCCTTTCCACATCTGAAGCATGCGGTGGACTTCAGCTTGGAGACTGCAAGTCCCACTGCGGCCTTTGGAGCCCCCTTGTGGGATGAGGAGGGTGGTTGGCTCCAGGTGTGCCCGCCGCGAAAACGATCTCTGACCAAGTCGATCTCCACGTCAGTGGCCAGCACATACGAACTTTGCAGATCCCTAGGGGCCCCTCAGGAGCAGCAATCCTTGTAGACCATCCTAATAGCTTATTAAGGATGGCCTTATTAAGGCCATCCTTATAGCTTTCCAGCAGGGCTACTTCTGACCACCCTCTCTTGTAGGGCACCAGCTCGCGGAACTCCTGGGTGTACCCTGCCACCAATCTCTGCCCCTGATGTATGGACTTCATTCTAATTCTTGCCCTATTTCCCAACCAGTATCACTGCGACACTTCCAGTTTTTCCTCAAAAATAATAGTGATTGATGAATTAAACCAGGGGGGAAATATATTAAGAGAGTTGGAAGATGTGTTTGAAAGGGCTTTTCAATCAGGTTCGCCTGATTGAATCTTTTTATCAGGGCTTTTTATCAGGTTCACCTGATTCGCCAGTTGCAGCCCTTTCTGGACCGGGATGCCTTGCGCATGGTCACTCACGCCCTTGTCACCTCCTGGCTGGACTATTGTAATGCTCTCTACATGGGGCTCCCCTTGAAGAGCACTCGGAGGCTCCAACTGCGCGGATGCGGCTGCGCGGGTGGTTATGGGTGCAACTTGTTGTGCCCACGTGACACCCCTCCTGAGTGAGCTGCACTGGCTCCCAGTGGTCTTCTGGGTGCGATTCAAGGTGCTGGTCACCACCTTTAAAGTGCTCCATGGCATAGGCCCCGGGTACCTTTGAGACCGACTTCTGCCACCAATAGCCTCCCACTGGCCAGTCCGCTCCCACAGAGAAGGTCTCCTCAGGGTGCCATCGGCCAAGTTATGTCAGCTGGTGACACCCAGGGGGAGGGCCTTCTCTGTGGGAGCCCCAGCCCTGTGGAATGAACTGCCCCCGGAAATGCGTAAGATCTCCGACCTCCATGTATTCCACTGTGCCCTCAAGATCCTGCTGTTCCGCCAGGCTGGGCTATCAAAGTAATGATTTTAAATTGGGTGTTTTAAATTTGGGGTTTTAAATGTGAGCCGAAATTATTTAATTATTTTAATTATTTTTAAATTGATGTCTGTCTTTGTGCTTTTAATAGGCTGTACACCACCCTGAGTCCTTCGGGAAAAGAGCGGTACAAAAATAAAATTATTATTATTATTATTATTATTATTATTATTATTATTATTATTATGAAAGGGAGACAGGGGTCTGGGTAGAAATCTTTGAAATTAGGCAATGGAAGAGGGTAGAGACAGGAGTAATATCTAGATTGAACATCCAAGAAGCAAACATAGACAGAAATAAAGACCTAAGAGAGGAACCTAGAAGGCAAGTCAAAAAAAAAAAAAAGCATAACAATTAAACTACTGAAGGAGGCAAGAGATGATGGAAAGATAATTTTCTTTTTTTAAATTGTTGTTTTGATTTGCTTTTCCTTCTCCCTCTCTTTCGCTCAAAGCATAGCAATCAAAAGTATTGAAGCACGCAAGAGATGATGGATGGATGATTTCTTTTCTTTTATGTTGTTCTGATTTGCTTCTCCTCTTCTCTCTCTCTCTCTCTCTCTCTTTCTCTTTTTTTTAGGTAGGTGACATGATTAGAAGTTAGAAAGGAAAGAAAGGAAAAGTCTTTTAATAATGATTAAAAGCTAGGATAGGTGATAGAAATAAGAGAAGGGGGAATATCAATGTATATATTTTTATATAATAAAATGAAAGCAATAACAAGAGAAAATGTGGAACAACTGAACAATGATAGATTGCAACCAAAATAAATGCATATTATTTACTAGAAATATATAAGTCGATTGAATATAATAATTATGATTAACTTTATTAGTTTTATTTGTATTAGAACGTATGACACCCAGATGCCACATTGTTCACATATTGATTTCATACATTTATAAAATATAAAAAACTTGAAAAAGAAACCATAATAGATTTTTCCATTTTGTTTTAAATTCTAACTTAAAAATTCTAAAAGTTCATTTAAAATTTCAAAATGTAAAACTTTTCAGTTATTTATTTATTTAAAAATTTGAAAGGATTTAAAAAATAATAATTTTGGAAGTTCTTCTAAAAAATAAAATATTCAAACATTTTCAAAATTCCCAAAAATTCCCAAAAATTTAGAAGAATTTTGTGTTATTTTTTTGTAAAAGAATTAAATCAAAAATATTTATTCTTCAACGTTAGTCTTTTGATCCTTCCTGTGGCTAATGTTGAGTAATAGCAATATCAATAATACTTAGATTTATACAGGTAATCCTTGAGGTACAACAGGCCATTTAACGAACGTTAGAAGTTACAATGCACACCCAAAATGCTAAATATGAATCTGTTTTAAAGTTACAAATTCTGTAGCGCCCCATAGTCATTCACTCTTATGACTGACTGCAGAAATGTTGCAGCACACCCACTCACCTATTTCCTTCCCATCTCACCTGGCCAGGTCCTCAGAAACCCCCAGAACCCAGTAAGTTGGCCTCACCATTCACTTACTTACTTTTTGACGAACTCAGGAAGTCAGCGTAGAGAAGGTTGCTCCCTTGCTGGGCCACATGGCATAATCAAGAAGAAAAAAATCAAATCTCTTTTATTTCCATGGCAATCCTTTCCCCCAGCCAGCATAAACCACTATGATATCTTTTTAGTGCCACCAGAGTTAGCGTTACACTAGTCTTACACTGGTAGAGCAAAGAAGAAATCTGATCTCTTTTGTTTCCATGCCAAATCTTTCCCCCCAGCCAGCATAAACCACTATGATATCTTCTTAGTGCTGCTAGCATAAGATTAGCATAAAGCTAGAGCTGGCAGCATTAAGAAGAAATTGCACTGATTAATGCTGGCTGGAGAAGAAAGGTTTGCAGGAAATCAAAATACTGTAGGTGCGATTTTTTTTCTTAACGTCACAGCATAAAGCTAGTGCTGGCAGAGCTAAGAAGATATTGTATTGGTTTATGCTGTCTGAGGGAAAGGATTACCATGGAAACAAAAATGACTGGGATTTCTTTTTCTTGATTGTGCCATGTGGCCCAGAGAGGGAATGGCCTTCTCTATGCTGACTTCCTGAGCTCGTCAAAAAGTAAGCGAATGGTGATGGGAAAGTGAGGGTAAGGAGGAGGCCCGTAGGACTTTGGGGAAACCAAGGGGCAGAAGGCAGAGCATCAGATATCTTACAGGGTGGGGGAGGCTTCTTGGCACTAGGCCTCCCCCAATTTCTCCCAACCCTGAGTCACCTCATGCTTTACCTAATGGCCTATGCATTCGTTTATGCATGGGGGATGTGTCTACATACTGTTCCTCATGGGCTCATCGAACTGCAGTTGTCCTTCTGAGGTCCTTCTGGCCATGAATGCTGCCTCTTCCATGATGTGGCCCAAAGTGTCATATGTCATCTTGTGGAAGCGGGGTATTGCCTTTTTGTTCTCAGTTCTCTAGGCTCAGCCGGGGTGGTCTTCCTCAGGTGTCTCTGAGGCTGGCAGTTCATTCTCCACTTCTGGCTGCTGTGTGGAATGCTCACTGGCCTCTCTTACGGGTTTCCCAAGGATATCTTCCTGCTCCTGAGCATGAGGCATAAACTCAGATGCTTCTGGCCAATGTGGTCCCTAGTACTTGTGTCGGACACAGGTGGGTCAGCTTCAATGGGCTCAGGTGACCACCACCAGATCATACAGCTCCTTTCCTCATCACTGTCACCCTCTTCCTCCAGTACAGAAGAAGGGGGCTGTGTGCAAGTCACTGGACCCCTCCTCGTTGAACAGGGTTCCACAGGTGGTAGGGTATGCTACCAGGAGACTCATACTGCTTCATTCAGAGGTAGGAGATGATTTTGGTGTCACATCTTCAGTGATTCCATGGCCTTTACTGATGTCCTGTGGTGTCAAGCTTGGGTTGTTGTTGGTCTTGACCTCAAACTCTGTCCCATGCAATTAGTCTTTCAGCTTATCCACTGCTGCCCATTTTAATGCCAGAAACTCTCATTTATAGGTGGGGAAATTCTTCTTGACTGGGGTGAACCCTGCTGATGTAGGCAATTGGCATCTAATGTCCAACATGTTCCTGATAAAACACTTCTCCAAGGCTGTCCTGGTAGCATTAACATGTAGCTCGTAGGGGCAATTCGGGTCTGCATAAGCCAAGATGGGGGTGTTGTTAGGCTCCTCTTCAATTGGTCAAAGGCCTGTTCACACTGCTCGGATCCACTCTGCTTGAACTGACTCTAGGGAGTACCTGGGCCCCTTATCCTGGTGAAGCTGGCCCAAACTGTTGGACACATCCACTGCTCTCTCATTCTTCAACAGATCATTGAGGGGACGAGCTATCTTTGAAAATCCCTTAAGAAACCTTTGATAGTACGAGAAGAACCCTAGGAATGATTGCAAATCAGCCATTTTGCAGTCTGGGCCAGGAAGTGATGGCCTCAAGCTTTGTGGGGTCGATTGATATTGCTTCTGTGGAGACAACATGACCGAGGAAGCACCCTGCAAAAACATCCTGGTTTGTTCTACTTCAGCTGGCTCCATCCCCTTCCTCTCCACAATCTGACATAACAACCTGTTCAAGCATCTGATGTACTCAGACAGCCTTTCATCTCTTTTCTGGTACATTTGCTCGAACCAAAGCAGCAGGCTAGAAACTGTTTCAGGAGGCCCAAATTCATCCTGCAGTAAACAGAGATAGTCACAAACTGTGAAATGCCTTCAGTTGAGTTTTAAACTTCTAATAGCTTACACAACAGTACCTTTCAGGCTCTCTCTGAACCTTTGCTTCTTTCGGGCATCTGAGACATTCCATTCCCCTATTGCCTGCAATGGCCTGTTCCATCCAGGCTTTGTATTCTTTTTCCCCTCTGGCACTGGTTGTATTCCTGAAAAGATACATAATTTCTTGTACTTAGTCCCCGCAAATTGGCTGCTAATCTGGGTTTGGATGGATATCAGGCTTCCCATAGCTTGAGCAGATCCTGCCCCTACGCTAAACAAAGTGCATTTCCCCCTCTTTGGTGCCCAATGGAAGTTTTAAATTAAAGTCTGTTGCTAGATGGTGATGCCAGAAAATTATGGCTTTTATCAATTATTTTATGTATGTTTTGTTTGTTTTATATTTTAGCTGGAATATTGTAGCCCTCCATAAGAATAGCAAATAATAAATATTCAGTGATTTGAAAAATATGTTGAAATAGCAATTGTGTAATGTAACAGCAAAAACAGCAAATGCAATTTGGGGCTACATCAAGAGAAATTTAAATTCCAAAATTGGAAGGTAATCTTTCCATTTTCTTACTCTGATTTGATTAGAATCCATCTCAGGAATTAGTGGGTTCTGATCCAATCAGCACAAAATTATTTCTATATGTGAGCACCTCTCTTGAATAAGGACTGAAATAAATTGGAGCAGGTTCAGAGAATAGCAACAAACATGATTAGTCAAAAGAAAAGAGATTGCAGATGGATATGTTCAACTTTGATAAATATGACTGATGGGTGTGTGATGTTATCTTCAAACTGTTAAACGGATGAAGAAGACCAATACTTATTTCTCTCATCCTAAACTGAAGACATAGAATAATACAGAAAGGCAGATTCTAATTGGATGTTACGGGAAAAGAACCCTATTCTAATAGGAAAAGTCAATTATTTTCTTTTTTATTGGAAATTCTTGGATGGATTCTCAGGTGGAAGCTAGACAATTCTTTCATTTCTTTACATCTTTGATTCTAAGTAAAATTCAGAGGAAAGACCTTTAGTAGTATTGGGAACGGAATGGGATAACTTTCTATGGTCAACTCACCACTGCCAATTTGCTATGGCCAACTTGTTGTGGCCAGCTCATCACACCCAATTTGCCACAGGGCAACCCACTGTGGGCAAATTGTTATGGGACAACTCACCCTGAGTCAATTCACCAATTTTATTTAATTATTTAAAATAATTTAAAATAATTTTAATTTTTGTTATTCACATTTCATTTTGTCCCTTCTTTTGCATCCTTTCTTTATTGATTCTATTCCACCATTTCTTTAATACTCTGTAACTTTTATCCCATGCAAGTTGTCCCACAGCAAATTGGCCATGGTAGCCCATCCATCTGGTATGCCAGAACGGTTGACCTTGACTGGCTATCAATAAGTCCATTCAGTTGTGCAGAAGGGGATGAGGGTATTCCTCCCTTTTCCACCCTTTTCGGTCACATCATGAGACATCTCCACCAGCTCGCTTCCACTCCATCCAAATACCTATCCATCTCCCCCCCTCCCCCATTACAGCAGCCGATAGCAAGCAAGCATTATAGAGGCTGACACATGGTGAATTGTCCTGTGGCAAGTTGGTCGTGGTGAGTTGGCCATGGCAAGTTGGCTGTGGTGAGTTGGCCACAGGGAGTTGTCCTAGACCCTATTGGGGTCTGCATTATGCACCTGGCAAATGTATTAATTATCTTAATTTTATCTTAATTCTTCTTAGAAGAATTCATTCATGCCTAGGATAATGATCTTTACAACTTTCTCATAAATCAATGCAAGTTTTATGAGAGATTCTTGGCCATAGTGCAAACCCCATCCTTGACCCATCCTGTCCCACCCATCCCATTCACACAAAGTGGTTAGCCAAATTTTGCTGGACAAATCTTCACTTATTTGAACGAAAGGTAATTCATACCTTTATCTTTAAATACAGATTATGTCCTCTTGCAGAGATTAAACATCACCAAACTCTACTTGGGATCTCAACAGTGTTAACCTGCAATAGCCTAGCATATACAATTTTTGATGAATGATGCAAAATTTTAGCCAAAAAGCATCTTATGAGTCAAAGCAGTCCTTGCAGTAAGCAACATCCAGCTCATTTACCAAGGTGACTGTTTCCTAAACTATGGTCGGTTTGAGTCATACAGCAAGGAAAATCAGAGTTCCATCTGGAGCTTAATCTGATCTGACATGTGGAGATAACCAAGAATGCTCCTGAGAAATTCCTCTGTTGGGCAAAACATATAGAGCTCAAATCAAGATAAGTTTTCAACTGGTTTAGTAGCTCCCTTATATTTAATTCTTCAAAGAAAGAATCACATAAAGGTGAAAGCAATATTCAAATGACAGTTCCATTTTTTTAGGTTCATGGAATTAGTAATCCTCCCTCTAGTTTAAAACAGAGCATGTAAATTTCTGCCACATGTAACCAATAAATAGCATATCTCACAACACTTTGGATCAATAGTTTTTATTGACAAGACTCCTCAGTAACCTTATAGTTGTTTGAATTTGTTATAGGTTTATTAATAATTACATCATATTATTTGTTCAATAGGTCATCTTTTTAATATACACACTGAGGGACAGTCATTCAAGTTTCATGAGATATTCTGGCCTTTTCAAAAAGCAGACTTGTTTACTATCTGTCATATTTACTATGTAGCATAAAGTTCACATACTTTTTTCACTAACCACATTAGTATTAATGCAAACTATAAATGTATATGGTGCTTTCGAGTCAATGTTGCCTCCTGATAACTGCGTGGACATGTCCTGCAGTTTTCTGGCAAGATTTCAGAAGTGATTTGCCACTGCCTTCTTCCTAGTGCTTAGAGAGAGTGATTTAGGCTAAAGTCACCCAGTTGGCTTTGTGCCTAAATCAGGACTACTACTCAAAGTCCCCTGGTTTCCAGCCTGATGCCTTAACCACTACACTAAATTGGCTCTTCAAGCTATGATTATTAGATACTTATGTTGTCTCATCAATTAGTATAGTAAATGGGAGGGGCAGATATGACGGCTGCAGGGGGGCATATTATGTTTCGGGAGTGCGCACTTGTTGTTTACGAGCGATTGCCCACTCCGACCCCCAAAGCACTGCTCGTTTCCTGGGTTGTTCAGAGTCTCAGACCCTGGGTCTACGGCTGATGTTATCTAATGCCAGGTCAGTGGTAAATAAAGCCCCCCTCATTCATGATCTTATTTCAGAGTGGGGTGCTGACCTGGCAGGGATTACGGAGACCTGGTTAGGCCAGGAGGGAGGAGTTCCCCTTGTGGAAATGTGCCCGCCAGGTTTCCATGCATTCCATCAGCCAAGGACTCAGGGAAGGGGTGGGGGAGTGGCAGCAATCATTAGAGAAAGTCTTTGCCCGAGGGAGGCCACTGTTCCTCAGATAGCCGGATGTGAGTCCCTCCTTGTGAAGTGGGGTCGGGGGATTCAGATGGGCCTACTGATTACGTACCTGGCTCCCTGCCACGTAACAGCGGTCCTGCCTGAGCTGTTCGACATTATAGCCGGGGTGGCGGTGGAAACCCCCAGACTTATTGTTATGGGGGATTTTAACCTGCCATCCTCTGGTGAGATGTCGGAGACGGCTCGGGAGTTCATGGCTTCCATGACGGCCATGGACCTGACCCAGGTAGTTCAAGACCCCACCCACTTGGGGAATCACACTCTGGACTTGATTTTTGTCTCTGATCAGTGGCTGAATGATCTAAGAATAGGAGATATAGACATCAAGCCCTTGTCATGGTCTGATCATTCTCTCCTTCACATGGGCTTTCAAGTCACTTCCACCCACCGCAGGGAGACGGAACCAACCAAATGGTTCCGTCCTAGGTGCTTGATGGACCCCGAAAGGTTCCTGATGGAGCTTGGGCCATTTCCTGAGACTCTGGCTCACGACTCGACTGAGGACCTGGTGGTCGCCTGGGACAGGGCGGCTACTGCAGCCTTGGACCGCGTCGTGCCTTTGCGGCCTCTGACCCGATGCCGATCTCGTCTAGCTCCTTGGTTTTCCGAGGAGCTGAGAGAGATGAAGCGTCGGAAAAGACGCCTGGAGAGCGATTGGAGGACAAGCCGATCTGAATCTGACCGAACACAGGTGAGATCTTATATTAAGACCTACCTAGTGGCGATAAGAGCGGCGAAGTCTAGCTACTTCTCCGCTCTTATTGCATCTGCAGAGAACTGCCCAGCCCCGCTGTTTAGGGTGACCCGCTCCCTACTTCAGGTGGGGGTACAGGAAGATCCCTTAAAGGGTTGAGCTGAGGATTTTGTACAATTCCTGCATGATAAAGTCGCTCAGATTCGGAAGGCCTGGACTCCGATTGGGTAGATCCAGGGGAGGAGACAGGGGCAGGTCTTGAGAGCATTATCTGGGAAGAGTCTGACTCTGTGACTCCTGAGGACGTGGAAAGGATTCTGGGCAAGCTTAACGCTGCCACATGTTTATTGGACCTGTGTCCCTCCTGGTTGGTATTGGCCTCCCGGGAGGTTACACGAGGCTGGCTCCAGGGGATTATAAATGCTTCTCTGAGTGAGAGTGTCTTTCCCGCTGCCTTGAAAGAGGCGGTTGTGAAGCCCCTCCTCAAGAAGCCTTCCCTGGACCCAGGGAATATTATCAAATTATCGTCCAGTCTCCAATCTTCGCTTTGTTGCGAAGGTTGTTGAGAGTGTGGTGGCGTGACAACTACCCCGATACCTGGATGAAGTTGTCTATCTGGATCCGTTCCAGTTGGGCTTCAGGTCACGATACAGCACGGAAACGGCATTGGTCGCATTAGTTGATGATCTCTGGAGGGCTCGGGACAGAGGTTGCTCCTCTATCCTGGTCCTATTAGATCTCTCAATGGCTTTTGATACCATTGACCATGGTATCTTACTGCACCGGCTGGAGGGGTTAGGAATAGGGGGCACTGTGCTTCAGTGGTTCTCCTCCTTCCTCTCTGACCGTTCGCAGTTTGTGTTGGCAGGGGGGCAGAGGTCGACCTCGAGGCACCTTATTTGTGGGGTGCCGCAAGGGTCAGTCCTCTCACCCCTTCTGTTCAACATTTATGTAAAACCGCTAGGCGAGATCATCCATGGTTTTGGGGTGAGTGTTCATCAGTATGCTGATGACACACAGCTATACATCTCCACCCCAGACCACCCCAATGATGCCCTTGCTGTGATGTCCCGTTGCCTGGAGGCCATGCGGATCTGGATGGGGAGAAACAAGCTCAGACTCAACCCCTCCAAGACCGAGTGGCTGTGGCTTCCGGCGTCCCGGTATAGTCAGCTGGTACCATCACTGACAATAGGGGATGAGATCTTGCTCCCCACAGAGAGGGCCCGCAACTTGGGTGTCCTCCTGGATTCACGGCTATCTTTAGAAGATCATTTGACGGCCGTGGCCAGGGGTGCCTTTTATCTGGTTCGCCTGATCCACCAGTTGCGTCCCTTTCTGGATCGGGATGCCTTGTGCATGGTCACTCATGCCCTAGTTACCTCCCGTATGGACTACTGTAATGCTCTCTACATGGGGCTCCCCTTGAAAAGCACCCGGAGGGTCCAACTGGTCCAGAACGTAGCCGCGTGGGTGATTATGGGTGCAGCTCGTTATGCCCATGTAACACCTCTCCTACGCGAGCTGCACTGGCTCCCGGTGGTCTTCCGGGTGCAATTCAAGGTGTTATTTATCACCTTTAAAGCGCTCCATGGCTTAGGACCTGGGTACCTATGAGACCGTCTTTTGCCACCAATAGCCTCCCACCGACCAATTCGTTCTCGCAGGGAGGGACTACTCAGGGTACCGTCAGTCAAATTATGTCGACTGGCGACTCCCAGGGGGAGGGCCTTCTCTGTGAGGGCTCCAACCCTTTGGAATGAACTGCCCTTGGAGATATGGAATATCCCTGATCTCCGTGCTTTCCGCCGTGCCCTCAAGACACTGAGGGCTGATGTTCCAACAGGCGGGGCTGATGTTCCAACAGGAGGGGCTAAACATACGAACATGTGAATGATTTTTTAAATGTGATCTAATTCTGGGTTTTATTTAATTGACCAAACTAAGTAATAATTTTAATTAGCAATTTTATGATGTTTGTGTGTCTGTATTTTTCTTGACTGTACACCGCCTTAAGTCCTATGGGAGAAAGGCGGTATAGAAATATAATAAATAAATAAATAAATAAATAAATAAATAAATAAATAAATAAATACAACTGATGCCCCTTTACATGAAATATATGCATTGTTATTGTGGCTTATTCATTTTATACTATTCTTGGCAATTTGGCAAAAAGTCTAAGAGTTAATATGATAGTAAATGTTTGAAGCAACCAATACCAAGATTGTCCATCCCTTCTGAGTTTAGTTCCACTGGATGATGGACACCTTCTCTCTTTGTTGAGGCCAAGGGAGGCTTCCCTAATGACACAAGCAGGGAAAAGTAGTGATTAAAACTTCCACTTTCTGGGGTCTCAAAGCCAGTTAGGCTCCCCACAGCTGTATTTACATTTTTAAATCATATATGTTAATTATGTTTATATAAATTAACATCTCATCTGGCTGTTAATGTACAATAGCCAAAATATGTTAAAAGAAAGCAATTCTGACTTTCCCATCCAGCACTAATTGAAGCCATTATAAAAAATAAAATTCTTGGTACAGTTAACTCTCAAAGTTCTGGTTTTATTTACATAGTCCAACAAACATCAATAAAGTATCATCATAAGTTGTTATTTGGAAGCTTCTTACACAGTAAGCATTTTTTTCTTTATAAGTGCCAAATTTACTGAGGATTTGGTCTTTTTACAAATAGGCATATCTCTATTCTTTCATAAACAGGATTTTAGGATGAAACCAAATTTTTTTTTAATAGAATTTTATAGCATTTATAGAATTGGTACCACAATCTATATAGTAAAATGTTTATAACTCAGATCTCAAACTAAAAGCTCTTTAAAAAAGCTAAGCAGGTCTTTAAAGGTCTGGGATTATATCACAGTTTTGCCTATTTCTTTTTTGCAACTGGGGTGCTACCACTGAGAAGACCACTTTGAATCTCACTGGGAAAGGGCATTGGTTGGAGAAAGCCCTCAGAGCTTTTCCATAAGGTTGCATATCCTTAGTCAAAGTTACCAGGATGATTTCAGTAAGGATAAATAAAAACAATCTAAGATCAGGAGGGTACCTGCCCTGATGCTCCAGGATCAATTCATCTTGATAGCCACAAGAACTAATTTGAAGCCTTAGGATGGAACGTTGAAAGGAGACTTGAGCTCTAGCAATGTTTCCAGTCAGCACAAATAGCTGGAAAAAAATAGGAAGAGCACATGTGGAACTAATTACTTATGTCGACTCTTTGACAAAGAACATTTCTGCAAACTTTTCATGGGGTCTTCATTTTCAGGAAGTGCCTATAATTACTGTGCAAGTCCAAAGTGGTCTGCTTTGGGGTTGCCTGTTCCAAGAATGGAAAAAAAAACTTTTAAAAAAATCAGAATGACCAAAAAATAAAAGAAAGCTCAACTAAAAGAATCTGAATGTTTATATGATTAGTTCCCTTAATAGTTGTTTCACCAGATCACTTTTTTTTCCCTTTCAAAGTTACGTTAATTCACTCCAAACTGAACTTGCTGCAGTAAAAGTATACTTCTTAAGTTTTTACAGCTTTTCCATAGTGGGGCCCATTTCCTGCTCAGTTGAAGAGAAAAACCTGGCCTCAAGATGAAATGACTGCTTAACATTACACTAAAACATCTGGTACCATTTTATACACAGACCCATGTCTGAGAGCAGGCAATTCCAGCGGTCTCACCAGCGGCACAGTGCATACCCAAACCTCCCTAGGGTGACATCATCCCATATATGGATGCTCAGGCCCAACCCTCCCCCCCCTCTCCTGGTCCTAAATTCATTGCCAGATCCACAGTCTACTGCAAATGTGCCACGTCAAGGCTAGAAACTGTAGCCCTTCAGTCCATTTGGAGAAGTGCGGAGAACAGACCCTGATGCAAGAAAGGAACTTTTTAACCCACAGGCGAAAGAAGGATTAATGTAACCCTAACCCCAACCTGCTCCGTCGCCCCAGTGTTCAGACTACCTGTTCAGGACAATGCTGTTGTACAGTAGTCTGCACATTGGTTAGACTGGGCAAGGGAATGCAGCGGTACCGAAGCCAGAGGAGGCCTTGCGAAGACCAGGATGGCTTCTTTCAACTTTTGAGACCCAGAGCTGTGACTTCACAGGTTTTGAATGCTAGGAAGTAGGGGCTCTGTCCGAGCACATGGGAAAAGGAAGACTTTTCAGTTCTGCATGGAAGACGTTCGGGTAAGGCCTCTGTACTTCAGATGAGCTTCTGACCTACCAAGAAAGAGTAAGGGAAAAAAGAGGGGATCTTCCTTACCTTGTTCTGGCAGGCAAGAATAGAGGAGCTCTCCTAGTTCAAGTGCAAGACAAACAAAAATAGAGCTTAAACCTGCAGTGCGCATATTAAAACCTAAAGAGTTATGGCAACAATGTATTTAGAAGTACAATTAAAACAGTGCTGTTTTGAAATTTTAAATTACTAATATTATTTATGTATTCCTTGTAAACTATTACCCATAACTAATGTTGAAAATGTATGTTTCACATTTTACTGATATTTTTTGATGTTCAGATATTTCAGAATTTAAAGTGGAATTTCAGAATATTATTTCTATTTGTACGAAAGAAAACTAAAGAAATTTAGCCCCAGCCTCATTAAAAAGCAAAGTTGCTTATAAAAAATATCTACACTTCCATTCTGATCCATGGAAAATATTTATTTATAAGTAGCAAAATCATGTCTACTGTCCCCTTCTCGCTAACAGAGATGCTCACATTTCAATGATATTGTGAGTATTCAACTTGTTCTATGCAAGCAAACCTCTAGACGCAGGCACACAGATAACTGCATGCAAATCAAGTATTAGCACATGCCTGAGATGGCAGGCAGAATCCACTCAGAGTGCAGAAATGGATCAAGCCTCTATGCATGAGATGCTCTTTGGTTTTCCACAAACAGCTAGATTTCTGGTTAGGCTACAGAGCGAATGCAGCCCACCTCTGCCCCTCTCTCCCTTCCACTCCAGCCATATGTCCTGAACAATAGCTATACCATATGGAGGCAAGAAATCACCCTAAGAAAAATTGTTCAGAATGGAGCGCCAGATTAAAACCTTTTTATCTTTTAAAAATGGTTCTAGTCAGTTTATTATCTTGCAAAACAATAACTACATGGAAGCGCTGCTAAGAAACTTTTGGCTAACAAGATGGAATTAGACAATGGAATCTGAGAGAAAGAGTTTGGTTCCTTTGAATGATGGTGCCTTGGTATTAGTAGCTCAGTGTTAATTAAGAGGTCTAAGTTGGGGAGGATACAGTTCTGTGTTCTTGGGCAATGAATCTCACTGATTAAATTGGAATTTGTAAATAGATGCAAACATTTCCTTTGGTGAGTTTCCAAACTATCCAAAGAACTGGGAAGGGGGGAGCATTCAGTACTGAATGAGGACTTCAGAATACTGTATGCAGAAAATGTTTATGCTGTGATTTGATCCATCTCAACTTCATAGGCCATTTCTCTAGACTTGCTATTTATTTATTTGAGGGGAGGGGGGAAATCCCTATTTCCATATTGTAATTTAATAAATGTTCAAATTCTCTATGAGAAAGATTTTTATGTTATAATTGCAAGCAAAGTATATCTTCCATGATTAAAAATGCAGTACTTCCTAAAAAAAAAAGTTAACTTTCTCTAGTAAAACTTATATAGTTTCAATATTTTATGCTTCATTGTGTTTAACATGTCTTGTTGTTATTCCAAACACAAGACTAAAGATTCTTATAGGATAACACAGCCACCGTGTGTCTCCTTCTTGGGGAAAATCCTAGACCCAAAAGAAGGAAAAGATGCTCTGCTCCAAAGGCAGTTTTCCTCGTGGAGTGAAGTGCTACTGAAGAGCATTTTCAATAAGGCAAAGAAAGCGAAACCCTTTCTTCACTTGTGCCATAATCCTGATTTGTTAGTTTTTTGCCTGAGATCTGTAAAGGAAAAACAAAATGTATCGATGCAGATAAATAATAGATGTGTTATCTACTTGGATACTATTACTTTTTTCAATAAGTTTACTACTGATCTGCCTGTCTATAACTATAATTCATTGTCACTGGTTCTGTTTTCTCATACTGGATATAAACCTATGCAGTCTGCTCTTGCACATTTTTCTGGATTTACTCCCAAGAAATCACGTATGCATTCTATATAAGATTTTATAACAAATGCAATCAACTGACTATTTCACTTTTTACTACATATAGTAAATAGCAAACATCCATTAAAAACCAAAAAGACAGAGCAATTGTTTTTTTAAAAAAGGAGTGATTCACTAAAACAATACATACACTTTAATATTTTTAAAAATCATTATTTTGATTACTAGATTAATTTTCTGATCAGTTTCTAGATTCGAAAATGTTAATAGGTTACTAGAAAAATGCCAAATAAAGTCCTTTGATTTAGGAAAAAAGAAGGTCCCTTTCCCCCGGATAACTGTAACAATTATTAATAATGAAGAATGTTGTACAAGTTTCCAACTATATATTATATAATTTTAAGTAACATTTCCATTGTAAAACTCATTGTGTCAATAAAAACAGGAGTAATATTACTGGCATCCACTATGTAAGAACTTGCTTTGCTGCATTTCCTTTCACATCCCTCATTATCACAACTCCAACCTCCCCCTGCCAAAAAAAAAAAAAAAAAATCTCTTACCCAACAATGCAGACAAAGAGGATGAACAAACAAAAATCAGGGAGGAGGGAAAATTCCCAGATAAGCAAAGAAGGAACTTTAGACTTCATGATAGGAATTATTTTGAGTTTTAAACTGATTTGAAATCATTATTATCAAGTAACAATACTTCGTAGGAACTAAAAAATATGAAGAGTCAAGAATGCTTAGTGAGTGATTTATAAACATTTGCAGATGTGATTATTGAGAAATGAAATTTGTAGATGGATTGCTGTAAAATTAAGGTTTCCTGGGGAATGAAAGTGCAGTTTTTAAAGTTTATTTAAGTAGGAAAGCAGAACCTTAGGCTGCTGGAAAATTCAAACTGAATTTAAGGTTTATGGGTCCCAGGACCATCTAATCATTCATTGCTACTGAACAATAGTCTGATGTAGGAAAAAATAGCCTTACAGTCCCTAATAAATTATCAACTACAATGTAGTTCTTCAGATTGAATATATTAAGCAGTCTGGATCTTTGTCTCTCTGTCGTCTATGAATATGATTTCACTGTAGAGAATAAATGAGAGAATAGGTGAAATTATTGAAGAGAAGTTACTGTTGTTTTAGAATTAAATGGTTAGGACACTACTTTCCTAAGTAGGTAATAATATATAGATCAAATAATTAATTTGGTGACTTCCATAAAGATCTTAAGAACATATCTAAATTCAAGTATCAGAATCAACAACTACAAATTGTGTTCCATTCATTCCTAGGTTCCTCTATTATTGCGTCAGAGCAATGATTCAAACCTTTTCACCAGTTCAATATTCAGAATATTTCACTGAGGTATGTTTGCAGACCACCCAAGTTTCCTTATCCTATAGAAGTTCTACAAAAGTAAACAAAATTCAAATTATAAAAACTAGAAACCATGTAAATAAAGACAAATAAGTAACATCACTCAGCAAGATTTATGAATTATAATAATCTTTCACATTTTCAGTGCTACCTAAATTTTCCAACTGTTCACATTACATAAATCCTAACATTTCTATTTATATGTTAATTAGCAAATGGTTTGTTTACTTGAAGCAAACAAACTCATGCAAATGGAATAGTTCATAGGAAATTGGTGAAGCATATTTTCATTAATGCTATATAACTAAAATCTACATGCTAATCTATATAAGTCCACTGTAGAAACATGTAGAATTATCTACAAATATAGGAAAGAAAAGATTAAGAAATAAAAATGTTAATGTAAACATGTATCTTTCCAGAACAGTTCTACAAATTAAATCTAGGTGATCACAAGCCAAAAATCTACCAATGAAAGGCCAATGTAACCTGTGAAACATCAGCTATCTACTGAACTGAGTTGGAACAATTTTATGAATTTATTGCATTCACTTCAGTTCAGAGTCTTAATTATTAACAATGTTTCATAAGAATTTATAGAGTATTATGAAACCATGTTGGAACATAGCAAGAGCTATATATAGCAATATAATTATAAAA